GAGGAAAGAAATCCATCTACTAATCCCTCCTTTACGTAATTCAACTATTATTTTACATATTTCTTTTCATTCTTTTCCTTCTGGCATACATATTCTTATATGATTCTCATCATGCATGTAAAATTTTCTTTCTTAACTTTATTGCCTACTAGTATATGCTTTTCTCCATATTGCCACAATATTGAAAATTGTAATTTATAAAAATGCATAATATCCCATCAAATAGATTTATGTAATCATTTTTCTATTTTTTTCACTTTGAAATTGCTTCAAAAAATACTCTATTTTAAGGAATACTGCAATGAACTTCTTTGTACATAAGGCTTTTCCCTTCTTTTTGGATGAGTTCCTAGAAGAGATTCTGTTAAAGTAGAACTGGTGGGACAAAGGATGAGATGCTTTTGAGGCTTTTGATACATATGCTCTATTACAGTGTTACCCAAAGTGTAGTCTGCACACAGCTACCAGCCTACACACTTTGTCACCAGTGTATAATGAGATAAGAAGCTGTGCCACAGTGTAAATTGATTCACTGCTTCCTTTATCACTTTATCTAGAAAGTCTCACTCTTTATAACCAATGATATCAGCTTAATTTCCAGCATGCTTAGTCATATGGTTCATTTATATTCTGGTACTTTGAGAAGCCCTTCTCTAACAAATTCTACTCTCTTAATAATGTGCAGTTAGGATATAATGCCAGGTAGCTAATAGAAATAATTTAATTCAGGTAACTAGCAACAAAGGAGTTAAAAATACTGAGAAACTAAACAGAGCTGTGAGAGAACCCAGAAATTCACAACAGGAAGCTACTACTTTGCTTAGGGCTGGAGAGGTAAAGTGCTAGAGCTACCTTGTATAGTCTCTTGAGAACAGGTTGTTAAATATTCAGGAATTTTGCAAGTCAGGATGTATTTACACCATAGACACTGGCAACCATTTGAAATCAGGACTTCTTCCCCTCCCCTCTCCCCCTCTAAGAGAGCCAGTTGTTAAAAATTTACCAGCACACCAGTGGACAAGGAGGACAAAAGGAGGAGATAGTAGTACCAGAACCAAACAACTGGGTCACCTAGTAGAAGCTGGGTCCATGGAAGAAGGGTCTGTCTGGTGGGAAGCAGAAAAATAGAGGAGATGCAGATGGTGCTGGAAATGCTTCCTGGAAGGGAAATGGGGACACCCTGGCATCTCCCTTCCATTGCTCTCATCAGTGCCTTCCCCTGGGCAAACGTTGCTGGAAGCCAGTTGGCAAGGTTTCCAGAGAGAGGATATAGAATGCATTTGAGAGCAAAGAGATAAATAACCAACATATGAACCTTCTAACAACTTACGATAATTTGGGGAATCATTCAGTTGTCATCAAGTAGTGCATATTTATTTAGTGCCAACTCCTACTTTTCTGTACAAGTTCAATGAGTGGTCTCTACTCCACACCTATGGTGGAAATGAGAAGCACCTGACAGCCTATTTAAATCACTTAGCTCTGCTATTACATTTAGTGAAGGCTAGCATGCATGAGCAGTGCACATGAACAAGATTTATTGATGTGTACATTTTTCTGTATCCACCCACTGGAAAATGTCTGGATTTCCAAAGAGGTTTCTATATACAGAATTACAGAATCAAATGAAAGCCTTACATAAGAGAATTCATGCTGGCTGTGTCAGTTTCCTGGGTGTTTTCATTATGGGGAATCTGGCAATTGGCTAAGTGGAGAAACAAATAACAAACCAAGAGGCTAAACTGATTTTCATGATGAAGAGATTGTTGAGGAGTATCAGGGTGAGAGAGGGAAAAGCAAGGTGAGCTTATCTTTCAGAGAGAATTTTAAAGTTTAGCAAAAGAGAGTCTCTATCTAGATCAGCACTCTCCAACAGAATTCCCAACAATGATGAAAATGTTCTGTGTCTGCACTGCCCAATAAAATAGACACTAGTCACATGTGGCTATTGAGCACTTGAAAGGTAGCTATTGTAACTAAAGAATCATATTTTGGATTATTTAATTTTAATTAATTTAAATGTAAATCTAGATAGCCAGTGTGCTTCCAGAAGCATCTTTGGTGTGCTAGAGATTTGGTTAGGGTGGAGAGGAGAGGAAAAGGGGTTTGTAAAAGTGCTATGTTGGGTGAGTTGGCATCCATCTGTAGTCCTAGCTACTTGGGAGGCTGAGGCAGGAGCATCTCTTGAACCTAGGAGTTCAAGACCAGCCTGGACAACATAGTG